GAATAACTAACCAAGGAGAATAGGTACAGAGGAAAGAACAGCATGATTATTCATAAGAAAAGGGATGCATTAAATAGAATAACTGTACTCCAGAAATGTCTCTGCTCTGATCCCTGCAAACTGCAAATGAAGGAGCTTTAAAGGTGCTGATGAAATAAAATTTGTTCACCAACTGGCCTTATCATTGGATAGTATCCTGCCTTACCCAGATTGAATTCAATGTGACGACAAAGATCCTTCCATGTTAAAGACAAAAGGAACAAAGAATGAAGTGACATGAGAAAAGATTCAACCTGTTGAGTGTTAGAGCCCTTAATCATGGAGGAATGGGGGTTTGAGCCACAAAATGTGAGTAGCTACTAGAACCAAGGGAGGAAAACAACATGCAGAAAAGAATACAGTCATGCTGACAGCTTTTTTTTTTTTTTGCCAGTGATACCCAATCTTGTATTCAAAAATAGATAGAGCTCTAAGATAATAATTCTGTATTACCTCAAACAAATCAAGATTGTGGTAACTTATCACAACAGCTATATTAAAAAATATGCAAAAGCTATTAAGAAAAATAGGCACAATTTGTTACTATTAAAAATCTCAATTGTATTTAAATATGCCATGAATTAAAAGCCAGTATTTTGATGTGATCTCTTTCATTTCCTCACAACTACAGTATCATTTCCTTTGACAGTTCATCTACCTTTTTCACCAGATAATGGTTTATGTTTTTCAATCTTTTTTGCAAAAAAAAATGTTTTACTGACTTTGTTATTTTTTAAGTTTTATATTCATTTATGTTTGTTACATCTTGTTATTTTCTTCTTTCTGTTTTTGGTCTATCTTTATTTTTGTTCCTAAAATTAGAGGTGTTTGTGAGAGTGTATGTAATATTTCTTTCTCTTAATGTGGGCGTTTATTGCTATCTCTCTTTCAATACTACTATAACCATAACCAAGAAATGTCTTGTTCGTTTTACAGTTTTGTTTAAATTTTGTTTGAAGTTTTGTGCTTCTACAATGCATTGTTGATATCCTTGGTGTAACACACATTTATCTTTTATCTTTCCTCTTTCTTTTTCTTCCCTAATTGATCTTCCACAGAAGGATAGATTTATCAGACTTACTCAGACATCCAGTGTTAGCAGTTCAGAAGCATATTCTTTGGACAGCCTTGAGGAAGTTGAGATTTGCATACATCCGTCAGCATTTTCTGTCTCTAGATTAAAGGTGAGAGTTGGAATTCTTTCCCTGTGTCAGGAAACTTGGAGTATCTAAGATGTGTAATAGTCTAAGCCCCTGTTTTCATTCTTGCCCAGTAAACTAGCCTGCCAATGTTCCACTCCTAGTTATCTGGTGACTAGTTCTTGGGTTATCAGTGGAGAAGCTGGGGTGCAGGAACCTAAGCACTGGGGTTTTATATATGCCTACACTGTGGGAGCTGGACAGAGACTACACCATCTAAAATCTCAAGCCACCATCTCTTTTCTTGCTGGATGACTAGACTGAAGAAGACTACGAAGGGGTTCCAAGAATGTCAAAAAAAGATGCATTGGGCCCGGCGCGGTGGCGCAGTGGTTAAGGTCCTCGCCTTGCACGCCCGGGATCCCATATGGGCGCCGGTTCTATCCCGGCAGCCCTGCTTCCCTTCCAGCTCCCTGCCTGTGGCCCAGGAAAGCAGTCCAGGACGGCCCAAAGCTTTGGGACCCTGCACCCGTTAGGGAGACCCGGAAGAGTCTCCTGGCTTGGGATCGGCATAGCATCGACCGTTTAGGGAGTGAATCATTGGCCGAAAGATCTTCCTCTCTGTCTCTCCTCTCTGTATATTCACCTTTCCAATAAAAAAAATAATAAAAATAAATCTTTAAAAAAAAAAAGATGCATTTCTAGCATGAAACCTCTTTCAGAGGCTCAACACAAAAACCAAACAATTCTATTTCCAGATGAAACTAAGAGGCTGAAGATATCTTCCTGAAAAATGACATTGCATTGGGTGAAGAATTCAGTTGAGAAAGTATTCTTAATCTCCTGAACAACTTTGATGATTTCAATTTTATATTTCCCAAGAGGGCAAGAGTGCTTCAATTAGCTTCATAATTTTTCACACCGGGAATTGTCTACAAAAGCATTGTGCCATTAATGAGGTTTTTGCTTTGTGGCATAGTAGGATACAGGATTTCCAAATCTGCTATCTTGCCAATATCACTCTTAAGAAGGAGCTTCTTAATCTTACTCAATCTTCTTTTGCAGAAGACAATCGTCTTTACTTTTAATGTGTGTGTTTTGACCTGCTTTTATGGATAAGTTTGTATAAAAATTGTTTGGAGAACCCATTTAATTTTATTTAAATTTGCTTTGTTGTATCGGCTCTGAGGGGGTTGTTGCTTAATTTTTTTTAGTGTCATCTGAGGTAGAAGATCCTTCTTCTAATATACATCATTGGGCCACTTTCATGCCTGATGATGAAAGAGCAAACACCACTAGTTCTAGGTCTTTCTGTGTCGTCTAGAGAAAGGTTGAGAGATGGAAGAAACAGCTGATGACATATTCATGCATATTTCAGACTCCCAGTCACTGATTAATTGCATATCACGGCCAGCTAGATGGAGTTCACTGCTACTTCTCAAGGAAGTTCAGTTAGCTAGGTACTTCATTATTCAATGAAGGTTAGAATTGCTAATTAGTGTAACATTGTTGCTAATGTGGCCAGAGTGAACAGCCCAATCATGCACCAGATGTAGACTGTGTTTTGGCAGAAGTGCCAAATATCTGATATTGCCATTGTACGTGAATCAGAACACCTGTGTCCTGACTCTTAAATAAAAAAGTTTTGCAGGATGTCACTGGCTTTTGTTGAATTCTCATTCTCAGTCATTTGAACATCAAGTAGAAATAGTCTCCATTTTTTTTTTTTTGCCTATGCTTGCTGGAAATTCATATTTCAAGACTTGTTTAGCGAACTTGAGACACTTGAGACACTGAAAGATGATTTCAATGATTAACTATAATGGCATTCTTCAATTCTGGTGACCACCAACTTTTTTTCTGTTTCACTTACACCATATTATTTTTGTGGTGTCCCATCGATTAAGTTGCATTTAGATGAATACATGAGCTAAAATTGTATCCGTGCAAGGAATAATCATTTTCAAGTAGCACATTATTCTTTTTAAGAAATGATTTCCTTATTTTTATTGGAAAGGTAGATTTACAGAGAGAAGGAGAGATGGAAACATCTTCCATGTGTTGGACACTCCCCAAATGGCCACAATGGCCAGAGCTAAGCTGATCCAAAGCAGGAGCATCTTCCAGGACTCCCGTACGAATGCAGATTTCCAAGGCTTTGAGCCATCCTCTACTGAGTTGCCCAGGCAACAAGCAGGGAACTGAATAAGAAGTAGAGCATCGTGGACACAAACTATTGTCCATACAGGATCCAAGTGGGTGCAAGGCAGGACTTAGCAACTGAGCAGTTGTGCTGGGCCATGATCTCTATAAAGAATTTGGTCTAGTGCTCTGACCCAGCATGCTGTTAATTCATTTCTTGCAATGGTTGCATACTATACAAAGTGTTGGATCAAATACTAGCTACATTATTTTCCAATTCACCTCAAGTTATTACTGCAAAAAAAGATGATTTAAGTGTATGAAACACTACCACACTCTTGTGAGAGACCAGAATGAAATTCATGGTTCCAGGTTTTCATGTGTTCCACACTTGCCTATTATGATTTGAGAAATGAATCACAGGGCAGAGGATACTTGTTTTCCTTTTCCTAGTGGATTTTTTAAAAGATTTATCTATTTTTATTGCAAAGTCAGATATACAGACGGGAGGAGAGACAGAGAGGAAGACCTGTCCATTGATTTACTCACCATGAGGTTGCAACAGCACAAGCTGCACCGATCCAAAGCCAGGAGCCTGGAACTTCTTCCAGGTGTCCCACATGGGTGCAGGTTCTCAAGGCTTTGGACTGTCCTCAAGCACTTTCCCAGGTCACAAGCAGGGAGGAGCTGAATGGGAATGGAGCTACTGGGAATAGAACAAGCAACCCTATGGGATCTCGGTGCTTCCAAGGCGAGGACTTTAGCCACTAGGTCACCGCGCTGGGGGATCCTTGTGTCTTTCTGTCTCTGTCATTTCACATTTAAAATCAATAAATAATAAACAGATCTTCAAAACATAACTATAAGATACATAACAAAACATAACTCTATAATAGCAATATTTGTGGAAGAAACAACTGTTCCTTGCATGGCCCTTTCTTACAGGATTCGTGAGGAGAAAAAGGCAAGGAAATGAAAAGAAAAAGTTTTTGACAAGGCAACATATATAGCAATCGAAATTAAAATTGCAAGAGTTTCACTATTAAATGATTATGATAGTATTAGCCATAATAATAATATCTGAACTTGGAAAGAAATGTTATTGATACTTATGCAAATTTAATATTAAAAAATCGCATTGCAGCAATTCAAGATAATATTTATCACTATTTTAAGTCTTTGATGTGAATACATTTGTGTGAATATATAGTGTATATATCTATATAAGTATATATGTAGATATATATTGATAAATATATAGAACAGAAAATTAATTTTTCTAAAATTCAAATTCAAAGTCTATCATTTCAGGTCAATTTTTATTCTTTGTCCCCTCCATGCCTGCTTCTAACAAATTGATGCTTAGGAGTAAATTTCAGGCACTTTCTTGAATCATTTCTTGTCAAAACACTAGACATTTTATCCCATACCTGTTTCTTTCCTAAGTTGTACACTCTCATAATCACTGCCCTCCATATCTTGCTTCTTATTTTACTTATAGGGCTGCATCTCTGGTGATCCAACACTGCCACGAGACAGATCCTTATTAGTGAACACTGCACACTGACCAATTCAGAAGAAGGAGGTAGACTAGCTGTGGCTCCCATTCCTGACTTCTGCTCTCCACCACTGTTTTTACACCTGTAGCTTATAATGCCTCTGATGAAAGCCCGCCTTTTCATGAGCTTCCTGCTTCTGCTAAACTGGCTTGGGGTACTTGTGTCTTTCCCTGGACTCACCCAAGCTGAGCATCATTCAAATCACAACCCCCCAGAGGTGGTCATCCCTTTGAAGGTAACCAGCAGTGCCAGAAGCAAAAAGCCTTCAGGCTGGCTCTCCTACAGCCTGCGCTTTGGGGGCCATAGACACATTGTCCACATGAAAGTCAAGAAGTTCTTGCTGTCCAAACATCCCACACTGTTCACCTACACAGAGCAGGGTGCTCTCTTAGAGGACGAGCCTTTTGTGCAGAATGACTGCTATTATCACGGCTTTGTGGAGGGGGACCCAGAATCCCTGGTTGCTCTCAGCACCTGCTTTGGAGGCTTTAAAGGAATGTTACACATAAACAACGTCGCTTATGAAATCATGCCCGTGGTGTTCTCTACCACGTTTGAACATCTGGTATACGAGATGGAAAGTGAGGAAACACAATCCCGTACTTTGAGATCTGGCATCATACAAGACGAAATAATGGGTCAAGAGCTTGATGATTCCACTCTGAAGCAAAGTGATTATGTTGGATGGTGGGTTCATTATAGGACAGCTGAAATTGTACTGGTGATTGATTCTTCTCTATATGATTTTTATGAAAGGAATAGCTCAACATTGATCGGCGATCTATATGTGATTTCAAATGTAGCAGATTCCATTTATGATGTATTCGGGATTAGACTGATGCTTTTTTCTATGGAAATCTGGAATGATGATGATAAGATTGTAGTTGATGATGTAAGAAAAACTATTACCTTTTTTTGCAATTGGAAACATCTAAACATGTATAACCGGCAAAAACACGATATGGCAATGCTTTTCATAAACAAGAACTTAAGAGGATTAAGTGGTCTAGGGTTAGTTGCAGGAATGTGTGTACCTTATAAGAGCTGTGGAGTTGTTACCTTCTTTAAGAGAAGCCTGTCACTTTGTGCAATTGCGATGGCCCATCATATAGGACATAGTTTGGGCATGACCCATGATGATTATCCATGTGCATGTGGGAAACCTAAATGTATAATGCATTTTGATAATCCACCAACACCTAAATTTAGCAACTGTAGCTATCAACAGTTCTGGTGGTACACCGTGGAAAGGACAACATGCTTGCTGGAACATGAGTATACAACGGACATCTTTAATTGGACACGTTGTGGAAATGGTATTATTGAAGCAGAAGAACAATGTGACTGTGGAACTTTACAGCGTTGTCAAAAAGATCCATGTTGTATGCCAAATTGTACTTTAACTTCTGGGTCTGTTTGTTCTTCTGGACTCTGCTGCAAAAACTGCCAGTTCTTACCATTAGGTTCGGTGTGTAGAAAGGAGGCCAATCTATGTGATCTTCCAGAATGGTGCAATGGAACTTCCCATAAGTGCCCAGATGATGTGTATGTGGAAGATGGAATTCCCTGTAATGACACATCTTACTGTTATGAAAAAAGATGCAGTGATCGTACTTTACAGTGTAAGAGTATTTTTGGTGATGAAGCGAAAAATGCCAATCTGACTTGCTACAAAGAACTGAACGCCCAAGGTACTCGTTTTGGAAATTGTGGCACCAGTGGCGTTGTATATAACAAATGCAACACATCTGATGTCCTGTGTGGAAGACTTCAGTGTGATAATGTGAAACAAGTTCCACAACTGAGTGAGCATACAACTGCACATTGGACTCATTACGATGACGTAACCTGCTGGGGTACTGATTATCACTTTGGAATGATTACACCTGATGTTGGTGACGTGAAAGATGGCACAGAGTGTGGTGTAGAGCATCTCTGTATCCACAGGAAATGCATCCATATATCTGCTCTGGATAGCAATTGTTCACCTAAATTCTGTAACATGAGGGGCATCTGCAACAATAAGCATCACTGTCATTGCAACTATTTGTGGGATCCACCCAACTGTGTGACAGAAGGACATGGAGGTAGTATTGACAGTGGCCCACCCCCAAGGAGAGAGAGGGAGAAAAAGTTTTGTTTCTTGTGCCTAATTTTGCTTATTCTTTTAATTTTTTTCTTATGTTGTATTTGTTGTCTTTGTATGAGAAAGAGAAAAGAGCAAAAGGGTCGGAAGCCTCAGCCAGCCACACCTGTTCCTACCCCTGTGAAATTCTCAAGTCAACCTATGACACCAAAATCATCACTGAAATCTCCAGCTGGAAGCATAAGAAGTTTAAGATAATAAAAACAGTCCCAATATGTTTTGCTTATTCTTCCTTGTTTTAATTAATTTAAAGTTTCTTTTTTTACGCAAATTTGTTGTCTTATGTTTCTTAGAAAAAAATAATTTACAACATACTGGTGGTGTACCTGTTTTATATCATTGCTTCTTGATGTATTCTGCTTTACAGAAAACCAGGAGTTGGATCAGGAAAATTACAACCTGGGCTATCATTTCTTCTTACTTGTCCTCGTGTTTCCTGAAGGTTTCCCATTGAAAGTAATTTATGGTTTTAATCTATCTTTTTATTCCTCAATTTACTGCAGATAAGTCTCACATTAACAGTCCCAGTGATAACAACATAGCCCTCTGGTCCAATACATTTTGAGTTCATTGCGTTCTTCATCAATGCTCCAAATTTTCCATGGTTGCTTGGTAACATTTGTATTAGAGTTTTAACTCTCATATATAAGGTATGGATTTTACTACCTTCCAGATTCAGGGAATCCCAGCATTTTTCATTTGTTCCTTAGCTCCATTAATAAGATCACTTTTTTCCCACTAAGTTCTTCTGACTTAATAACCAGCAAGTAGCCCAATGACTCCCTTTACTAGTTCTATTAATAATCCCTATTTACTCAATTCCACATATTTGATTCTAACCCTACAAAATCACTTATGTGTTTTCTCTTTTTTGTTATAGTAAATATATTAAAATATTAGTCCTTTAATTATGGATAAAACAGAAGATGAGACATCACACTAATTTTTTCTTCATTTCCATTGTTTGAACTCTTTGGGAATCCCCTATGTCTATGAATAACTGACTTCAAAATCAGATATGATACTATTAGCTCATTTGGGCTTCTTTTGTTACAAGGTTTATGAAATAAACAAGGTAGACCTTATACTTTTATGTAACTCTCGTATATCTAAAAAGGTAAGTGATTCTTTTGAAAAAATAAAACTTCAGATTTAAAAAAGCATTTATCTTACATATGTCAGAAACGTGTGGGAAAAAAAATGAATGCAAGATCTCACAATTTGAAGGAAAAAAAAAAACATTTTCTATGAATGGTCAGCTCTTTTACTCCCCCTGGAACCCTTGAAGGTTCTTAATGTAAATTGCCATGTAAGCATGGGCAATCCAGTTAGAGGAACATGAGAACTACTTCATGCCTAAGGAGAACAAGATTAATAAACCAGAATCTTTGAAGCTTTAAATTCATTATCATTATCTTCTGTACCATTTACTGATTTTGATTTTTTACAGGGTGTTATGGAGAGACCTTTTAAAGGCAGAAAAACCCATGTAAGAATTGAATATTATGTGGAAATAAGCTTTTGTCAAACATGAGCACTGCTATTAAAAATGTTACTTCTTTTTAAGGGGGGAGGGAGGTGTTCTTGTCTATAAAAGAGTTTGCAGTATATGCCAGGGCACTGAAATCTAAAACTGTGAACATCAACACTCAATTACTGCCTTTCAAAGTTGAAAGTCTAGAGAATCTTTTATTTTTAAAAAAAATTCATAATATTTCTGATTTTTAATAAGACTATGGTATAATCTGATCTAATGCATTCCCAATTATTAAAAGCTGTTACAAATTCAGTCCATATTTCCAAATAGAAGATACAGAAAAGCCAGTTGAGAGTAAAGACAGAGTTCTCAGTCTGGTGAATAACTTTTCAAATATTCACCTCTACCAGGTCTGGGCCTGCTTTAAGCCGGAAGCTGGAAACACTCATCTGCTCTTCACAATAAGTGAACGAGCCCCTGGCCTCCCAGGATTCAAATTAGGACGTTGCTTTTGGGAGCAGAACTGGGACTCAAGCTCTCTGCAAAGAATCCAAGTATTGTGAATGGGTTTATTCTCTGAAAGAAGCCCCAGTTTCTTTTCTGTAGCACAGTAAAAAAATCAAAACTGAAATTTATTTACGTGCAAAGAGAACACATTGAAGAAAGAGGTGCAGACATGCTCGGAACAGCTGCTACACTGAGATTGTGAGTCTACCTCTAGCTGATTTGAAAGTGTAAGGGATGTTTTCTTGGATGGAACTTACATGGAAATCCACAGGGCATGGAATTTTGAATGAATCACTAGTACTGGTCATTTTTCAATACCTATTTTGGGCCCTGGCATCAGGTGCATGATGGGAGAGGGAGTGTTTGTTATGCAAATTTTATTACAATGTCCTTATAATTTGTTCATGATGATCACAGGACACAGCTGACAGCTATATAGATTATTTTTATCCAGGATCAATTATATGTATGGAAACCATGAATGTTGCAGTTTTCTATTACATGGAAGGGAGGGAGGGTTTAGACAATACTGATAGTGCCGAAACCTCAGAGATGCTCCAGAGAAGATCAGATGACCTCTGCCTGTTCTCACTGGTTACCCACCTGCCTATGTACACCCTCTCTCCTCAGAGATATTAAGCCCTTAATCTGTATGAGAGGTTGAGAGAGGAAGGTTTATCTTCTGTAACTTCTATATGCCTTTCTAGGGCATACCCTTGCATAGCTAGAGACACAAATTCTTTGATCTAGACTTTCCACTGGGGAAGCTAAAAATCACAGACGCACATGAGATGGGTCAGGGATAGATTGAGCAGGAAAGGGGAAGGTGAAAGAGAGAAAGTGGTTTACCTCCTGTGTCTACAGAAAAGGGACAGAACACTCTGTCATTACTGGGCTTATGGACTGGAAAGGGGAGTGGCTATGCAATACCTGCCCCACCCCCAGCAGAAACACATCACTAAGACATAATTTGACTGAAAGGTCACAGAGGGCAAGGAAAGTGTGGCTTCCCACTTGTGAACTTGTCCTATTTCATTCCCCCCTCAGGGATTTCCTCCCCTTAATCTCAAGGGTGGTTGAAAGATACAGATTCATTGCTGCTTCTGCATCTGCTTGCTGTTGTTTGAGATATAGGGCTCACCAATCCAATGTATAGATATATTCCCAACATCTAACGGGTTCATCTGACAAGCCAGAGAGTTTCAAGCCAGTGCCAACAGCTGTGTCACCCACATTGCTGCAATTACTCTGAGAAGTTCTTGGATTCTGAAACAAACAAGCTTATCAATCAGCATGATCAAAATCAGGAAGAAACACATTTCAGGTTGAGTGCTCTATAAAAAGGGAAGATCACATTTATTATTTCCTAAATACTGAGTGATTATAGATTGCCCCTGCGCAGATTATAAAACCGTCAATATTGAGTACAATGCACTTTTGCATGAACATACTGCCCTTAGAGTAAAAGTGACCAATTCCTTGCTCTGTAAGTCTGCATTCTAAATCCTGTTGGTTGGCTATGACAGGCAGTGTCCATCAACCCATGTATTTAGAAATTAACATGAGGTATAAGCCAAATTGCATAAAATAATAGTCAAATTTTTAAAATTAATACCATGGAAAAGTTAAGATCTTCAACTGACATGCTAAAGTAGGAAGCATTTTTCATGTGCACGCATCTATGTTATTCTCCTTTGCACCAGAGTCAGAATTGTAATTTCCTAATAAGCATCATGTGCTCTGAGACCAGGACACACATCCAAGGTTTCTGACTTCAGAGATCTTTTTTTTTTTTAAGATTTAGTTAGATTTATAGAGAAGAGAAGAGACAGAGAGGAAGATCTCCTGTCCACTGATTCACTTCCCAAGTGCTTGCAATGCTCAGAGCTGAGCTGATTGGAAGCCAGGAGCCAGGAGCTTCTTCTGGGTCTCCCATGCAGGTGCAGGGTCCCAAGGGCCATCCTCAACTGCTTTCTCAGATCACAAGCAGGAACCTCAATGGGAAATGAGGCCACCAGAATATGAACCGGCACTCATATGGGATCCCAGCACACTAAAGGTGAGGAGTTTAGCCACTAGGCTACCACACCAGGCCATCAGAGATCTTGATGTATGTGAAGCTAATAAGATTTGTGACATCGGGCCCGGCACGGTGGCGCAAGTGGTTAAAGGTCCTCACCTTGCACACCCAGGATCCCATATGGGTGCCAGTTCTAATCCCGGCAGCCCTGCTTCCCTTCCAGCTCCCTGCCCGTGGCCTGGGAAAGCAGTGGAGGATGGCCCAAAGCTTTGGGACCCTGCACCCGTGTGGGAGACCCGGAAGAGGCTCCTGGCTTCGGATCAGCATAGCATTGGCCGTTGCGCTCACTTGGGGAGTGAATCATCAGACGGAAGATCTTCCTCTCTGTCTCTCCTCTCTGTATATCTGCCTTTCCAATAAAAATTAAAAATAAAAAATAAATCTTTAAAAAAAAAAAGATTTGTGACATCAGAAGACTCCAACGGGATCAAGAACATTTCTGATAAGGACATGGGCTCTTCGAAGACTCAGATGATTGCACCTCAGGACACAGAGGGGCATAGGTGGTAACACCCTGCTCTGGTCCTCCCCTAGAGGTATAGGTGCTAAACCCACTGGCCTTAATGCAACTCCGTCAGGTTCTCTTCATTATTGTACACATCCATTTTATTTTATATGTAGGCAACCTAGAAGTAATCAATTTCCCAATATAACTTTATTTAGGGAATCCAAAGCGTACTTTTAGACACAAATTATTTAATATGTGGCATATCCAGAGTTTTGTCTTTTGTAGCGATTATACTGATGTAGACCAACTCCATCTCTCTCTCTCATTTTAAATATTTATTGTAAAGGAGGAATTACAGAGAGAAAAATTGAGTAAGGAATTAGATCAGAAGTGCAGCAGTCATGAAATGAATTAGTGCACATAAGGCATGCTGGCACTGCAGGCAGCTGCTTTACCAAATTTGCCACAACACTGGCTCCTATAGTCCCAGTCCAAGGAGTGATCTGTCTGACTTTAACCGTATCTTCAGATGGCAGAACAGTAACTGGATTTAGAACTTGAGATACACTGAAACTAAGCTCTATTGAGCCTAATGGAAGACTCTGGTATTTAATAAGGTATCCCCCTGTTTTGTATTACACAGATATGAAATGGGCCCAGTTTTGGGTGGCCATTCTTTTTTGCTCAGCTTTAAATTGACATCTCTAATATAGAAATTCCTAGTATAGAGGTCCCTTTTCTATAAATGCTTAGTCTTTTGA